AAGTGATCCAGCTTAGAAGTAATATAAATAAAAATTGTTCTTCGTTCTTTAAAATGGACAAGCAAATTTTGGGTAAATTGTTATGATGTCGTCCAGAACACCTGAGTCAATAATATAGTTACACAGTTGGTGGTACAAGAGGCCAGGAGGTCTAAAGTCCTTTACGGTTTCACATTCATCAATATAGTGTTCTAGTGAATGCATTAAAGGTTTATCACAGAGTTTACAATCTGAGTATTCTGGTAGTGGCTCAGCCTCACTAACCTGCCAGATGTGTCTATAACCAAGGCGAATTCGCGCAATGACTACATCACATTGCCTGGTATCTTAGATTATTACATAAACAATTTCATCTATCCTTCACACCTTATAGTTACAATGTCAGCTAGTTACAGAGAAAGTGCAGTGAGGACCTGTGAGCAATGAACCGGTATATTCAATGGGCTAAACAGGCCGCGTTAGGCTACGCGCCCGGTGCTTCGCTGACGACTTCTGTTCGAATCCCTGTAAATCCTTTAGACACACGTACTGCAAATCCAAATAATCGACAACAGAACCTAAACACCTGACATAGCTACGCCTTACGATACCTAAAGCTTTTATACTTAATTATATTAACATATGGAAAACCTAATTTTAATACACAGTATGTTAACAATAATGGATGCGTCTTGGGCGACAGCCGCTGCTTTAACGAACCTAGACCGAAGACGGGTTGAAATACCAATAACGACCAAGAGAACATAACCTAAGTAATTATGAAAAGAAGCAACATAACCTAAGTTAGGCCGAACTATTCAACACATTCCAGTATGAATATTACCTTATAATTAAGAAAATACAAATTCCTAATACGCAATGCGTTAAAATTAATGGATTCAATTCTGAGGGGGGTCGCCGCCGCCTGGACGATTGAAATCAACCTGTCCTCAACCTGGCCTGAGGACAGGTTGAAATTCAACTAATTAACTGTAGAAATAATTGAATATTGCAACGGGGGGGGGGGGTATATGCAGCCGTCTGCGGCCTTCTAGACGCTCAAAATTGTTTATACAAATTTATAAATTACCTTTTTATATCGCCTTGTGTATATATATTTTTTGTATTGTTCACTTATATAACTAAATGTACAAATAACTATAAATAGAAAACAATATTCTTTGATTCAGAAAATAAATATCTGTCGCGGTTGTGTTGTAGGTATAGAACACCGGGTTCCACAGACGAGCTGTGGGACGGAACACCGGGTTCTTTAGACGAGCTCTGGGACGCTGAAACAAGACAGGTTCCCTGAGCTGAGGAGCACGAAACACACTCTTGACGTACAGCGTCTCACGACGAAGGGTCGAGGACACAAACAACCAACACGTACATGAAACCATTGTCCAGTTGTTGTTGTTGTTTACAGAATAATTAAATCAAGCGAGTCATGTATTTTCTTCTCTTCTCGCTCTCTTCTAATCCCCCATCACCTTTAAGAACCGGTTCGCTGCGCGAGTACTGCTGTAGATTACCTCGTGATAAACGGATAACACGGAACTAATAAGGTACAAAATAGAGTACTGGAGTACTGTACTTACCTAATATGACCGGTTCGTAGACACTGTCCTGGTTAGATTGGAAGCGGCTCGCGAAATGACAGTGTCCCGTTTTCTATTTACAGTCCTCTGGTAGATTAAGATAAGGGCACTTTAGTACAGCGTTTCTTGGCGTTCGGGACCTTAGGAGGACGGGCTACATAGTCTCCTGCAGTCACCGTAGGTGGCGTGGACCCGTCAGGGTATCCTACACCTCACGAGGTCACTTGCCGGTCTCCTGACGAGAGGCGATAGCGGCTTCTTAAAAGAATGGTGGTTCGAGGCACTGCCTCCAGCGATTCGTACTTTAAGTTTCGGTGATGTTCACAGCACTACAGATCCCTGCAGCTGGTCTGCGGGATGTTACGATGTTAATCACTTTCTTCTCGCACACGCACTTTGACACAGTGATCACAACGTCCAACACTTTCTCTAAGCCACTTTACTAATCGTCTCCCTAGTCAGTAAAGTGACCTCACTTTAGCAATCAACACGAATGATTTTACAAATTCGGTTAAATTAAAGTTGGAGTTAACTTTGCACTACTGGGCTCATGTGTAAAGTGCATACAGCGCCATGGTCCTGTGACTGAAATACACAGGAGGCCACCGTGAGCACTCCAATTAGAATGTCTACCATGCTCGACGTGGCATCAAAACAAAGGCTATGAAGTTAGCCCATCCAGCATAAGCATTTTCAGCTGGCTTCACTCTGATTGGTGGTTACGTCATAAGCACAACTAGTGACTTCTCTGACATCATCGTTAATGAGACAGTTGAAGTACCTGACCTCCTCCTGACTCAGGTCAGTATTGCACAGCAAACATCACTCAAGATGGCGGCTAGATGTACTCCTTCATAACCATGACTCGAGGTTCATTCGTCCTAATTAATAAATGATCCTACAACGGCCATTGTGTGATGCGTGAACACGGCCCAACCTGTGCTGTCCGAAGGCACCCGACAACAAAAGGAAGACCAGAGGCACACTTTGTAAAGTACGGCCTCATAAGACAGTTTTTTCTAAAAAAGTGGCAAGATGCCCTCGAGGCTAGTATAATAAAATTCTACTACATTGGTCTTAACGGTAGTGTGAAACCGTTGTTCTAGATTAAAAATGATAACTACCTATGTACCCCGCAAATAGTTACGAACAGATTAAATCCTTCTAGGATGTCATTCCTGCTGCAACATTTACGCAAGCAAGAGTGTTGGAGTGGGAGAAGCAACGAACATGTTCCAGTAACCACGTACAAGACGAACGTTATCCAAACGTTAACCTTACAGGTACAACTGGTCAGGGGCAAAAAATAATCTCCAGACGAAGTGTCATTCGTACTTGGTCTCCTGACGGCCTCCAGCGAGGCCTTGGGGCGTATCACAGTACCAGCAGTGTTATATGCCATACAAACTAAGGTGTGGGAAGGATGGCAGAGCATCAGTGAATGTCATCAGTGCCGTGGAGCGGCAAATGGACAGAAGTTCTGAAAGAAAATCGCGGCAGGGTCGATAGCACGTGTTAAATACGGACAGTGAACCAGCATGAAATATTTAGTAAGACGGGGCAGGATTGAGGCGGGAACGGGTGCCGATAGCAGTGAAGTGGGAGCCTAACATGTTCACCACATTGGCTCGGCGACCACAACCACAAAGAACGACAGATGCTACGACAAGAAATTCTTCACCTAAAAGACTCCAGCCTGACTTCGCCCATTTAGTTTTGCGAATGCTCGTGCAGATTCCGGCAAGAGGTTAACGCGGCTATTTATTTTAGATAAAAGATCTCCACCCTGGAAACACAAACCGAAACCGTCTATTTTCCGCTTGTTACAACTTTTAATGAAGTTGTTACATCTTGGCTTAACGTATTTATGACGTATTAGAACGTTGTTAAAACTTAATATATTGGTTGTTATAACTGGTTAGGTGGTGTTAAAACTTGCTCGAACGTTGCACCAACGTCGTAGTTTCGGCGAGTTTGGCGGGAACCACGTAAACTATGGAGACTAAATTATTCACACACCCTCCGTCACTGATGGAGTGCGAAAAGACGAATTTAGAGAATTCTATAACAGATGTTCAAGGTGTGTCGACATTTCATTCACTATGATCTGCTGCCAGACAAACCAAATATTCCCAGTCTGGTACCTGTAGGTAGTAAGCGAGTGATCGAAACCTTTCCACTGGTTAAGGGGCTGTGTGCAGGATAAAGAAATTACAACAGTATCACCACTTATGTCGGTTTACAAATTTAGACACTGGTCGGTCTCTAGCCCATTGTTGAATGTGCATTTAATTTCGTAACTAGCTCATCAAAACTACCCTGCTTAACAAAATGAATTTTGGGGTTCAGTCCCCGAGCCCATTGTGAGTCTCTTAACCCTTCCCACTACCGGCCACAGGATGGTTATGGGTCACTACAGACTTTATCAAGCTGAAATGTATACCATTTGCCAGAGGTGAAAAATATTCCACGCAGAGTTAAACCGTTAGTTCCAGCAAGGAACCCCACTTCCAAGAGCCGCGAGAGGCAGTGGATGGAAAAGTCAGGAAAATGATATAGTCTTCAGTGTGCACGAAGTCTCGCCTCTTATCAGGAGAACTGAAAAAGCGTCAGAAATGTAACTGGCGAAGACACTTCCTAAAAATGGCTCCAACAGCAGACTGGTTGGAGTAACTTAAATATGTTCGTCTAGGCTTCTGCAGATGAAGAGCATGTTTCAATGGTCTTTTTGGGGTAGACCGCTTGATGGAATCTTTGTAATCGGGTTGAGCCACCAAGAGTCTTAGATCAATTGAATACTTCACTAGACTGACTATTGTTCTACGCACAAAGCTGTAGATACATCGCCCACGTATAAAATGGCCAACAAGTGTTAACCTACGTTATTGCATATTCAATGTCTAGGCAATTGAATCTTTGCCCAATTCGAGAACAAACGGTTATATTTATGAAATGCTCCTGGGGGAGGGTGGGGGTGGAGAAACGACCGCCAATAACGAGCCTTGCCCGAGGACGGGAACAAATCTTGTATGGGTGCTTGAAGGAGACTTCTACCCGGCTGTGACCAAGCTGACCGTCAGGAAGTGAATGAGTTTACTTCACATTTAAATTTTTAATCCCAATGGACAATGAACATTTTAGAAAACTTTCCTCGTATTCCTAGACTAAAAAAAAAATTCCCCCCCCCCCCCCCCTCAAATGTACAGATAGAATCTCTAGCAAGAGTCCATTAGTGAACTTAATGGTGGAATGGCCGCCGAATGGAATCCTTTACGACTGTTATAATCAGTTTTAAAGGAAGCTCCGGCGAGGGTCCTGCAACCCCGCTTCCCCCTCCTTTTAACAAGGCGGTGTCAAGCATAATCCATGAAAAATCCAAGTATTAAATACAAAATACAATCTAGAAATTAAAGTACTAAATAAGCACAAGATTTTATTTAACACTTTCCTTACACGCCATATTTAGGACACCAAGTAGAAAAATGCATTTTATATGAATACAACATTACGACCTTATCTCTACTACAGTATTTTAGCAACAGATCACATTTACACAACAGCGAGGCAAGAAAAAAATAGCCAACGAAGATTTAAAAAAAAAAGACCAAGTCTGCTTTGGTCAACCTTGGAAGCGTTTAGCACAACAAACTTGCGCGATACCCATACACTGGTTTTTGCAATCTGTGTCTTCCTCCTTGCAGGCGTGGTAACAGGTGATCAAGGGGGCGAAGCAGGAGGGAGGACAATGACAGCACGTGTATTCCACGGTGTAGCAGAACATCCGGCAAGTAAGCTCCGGCACGCCTCTGCGAACACATTCTTCTATACAGGTGGGACCAAGGACTTCTGGGCAGAAGTCAGGGCACCTGGGAATGAACAGGTACATGTATCCATGAGACATGACTCTTCAAGTTAAGCCAAGTTAAAAAACTTTACAAATTGTTCCTACCAACTATAGTTATAAACAAAGTACTTTCCTCTCTAAGATGAATGTATATAGAAGGAATGAAGAGTTTTAATCTTATGGCATCACCTTAATTTTAAGAGAAGTTAGCCACACAGATTTAATCCTGCAATATTCTCAGTTACTCACAAGAAGCCTTGCCGGGCGATTTCTGTCAAAACATCATTGGCAAGATTGTTGAAATCTCTAGCTAAAGGGGAGATTGAGCCATTTACAGAGTCCCCGGACGAGAGGACATCCTCTAATTGACCCAAGGGATCAAAGACGCCTTCGTACATGCCATACGAGCTTCCGGGGTCGTTCAGCACACCAGAAGCCTCCTCAGAATCACTCTGATCAGAGTCCTTATCCAACTCTCCGGAGGAACAGCCATTTGGATGCTGGGTCGTTGGTTCTGGATGAGGAACCAGAGGCGTTGTAGACTGCCGGAAATAAATTTGTGGTAAAATTTAAATGTGGACGCTTTAGTATAGAAATCTAATAAACTATGAAAAACAGGTTTCAGAAATATAATTAGGGTATATTTACCTGATCAGATACTATCGGGTCAGTGACTGTCAGCAAGCTTGTCTGAAAAATTGCACATTTAAGGGTTTAGTGGAATATCCTTAGTCAAGGCAAAATTAAATATTTAAAAGATTATAACTAATTTAAAGATTTTATATGATCAAATATTAAATTCAGCATGTCTGGAGAACATCCAAAAGATAAATTAAATTATGAAGAGTTGTGCAAGTTAAATGACAAAAAGGTTATTAGATCCCAAAGTTACGCATTCAGGTTTATATTAGATATAACGAGCTTAGTTAAGACTTCAGTAAATACATTGTAGAAGTGTCTACTAGCACTAAAAAATTTACATATTAATAGAACATTACCAATTCAGTTCCAAAAACATTTAGAGTAAACGAGGGTGGCCAGCTTATATTTGCCTGCGAGTTTTACACACCACACAACATCAGGACGCCAGGTATACAACGACCGGTTTATAAAAACCCAAATCCTATCACGTAACCTGACTCAGACTTACTGCGAGGAAGAGAAGAACCCTCATGGTTATACGACGACCCCAAAATACGTAACTAATGTCCTCCACAGCAGCCAAGTGTTGTCGTGTGTCCGCAAAGTGGAACTCTGACCTCTGACCGTCGCTCTCCCCCTGACCTCACCTCCCACCCCTAGTGCTCCCTGCGCGATATTTACATACGGACACGACGCGACGAATCACGGGCTCACCACAGCCCGTGCTACATGGACATTTCGTTCTGAGTAGCTAAATCTAAAACAACAACGCGACGGGGCTACCATGTCGCAGGTTGTGCTAAAGTGTTATTGGAATGCATTAAGCGATAAGTGGCGTTTAATTTGAAGAGAAACAGAAGTTGAAAACTGGTGACCCCCGCGCGGCTGTTAAGTGCAGGACTAGCAATTGGAGGTCTCAGTGTCAGTTGTTAGACGGGAGTGATGGTTCCTGGTTATTTCTGTAAGTATACATCATGTATATATACAAGCATGATTGTTATGTATGTATATATATATACATGCATGAGAAATATATTTATAACATACGTCCCATCGAACTTTAAAAGTTCATTCATATATTAGTATTATAATTTGATACATAAGATACGTATGCAAACACATCAATATACATACATAAATATGTATAAGCCTACATACGAATGTTAAATATTTCATAATATTCAAAATAGTCAATGTTTAAACAATTCCCATTTTCATGTTATTATAAGAAAATATTCTAGCAACTAGAGTCTTATATCCTTATTGATGTTCGTATATCCTTATTGATGTTCGTATATCCTTACTGATATTCGTATATCCTTACTGATGTTCGTATATCCTTACTGATGTTCGTATATCCTTATTGATGTTCGTATATCCTTATTGATGCTCGTATATCCTTATTGATGTTCGTATATCCTTACTGATGTTCGTATATCCTTATTGATGTTCGTATATCCTTATTGATGTTCGTATATCCGTATTGATGTTCGTATATCCTTATTGATGTTCGTATATCCGTATTGATGTTCGTATATCCTTATTGATGTTCGTATATCCTTATTGATGTTCGTATATCCATATTGATGTTCGTATATCCATATTGATGTTCGTATATCCTTATTGATGTTCGTATATCCTTATTGATGTTCGTATATCCTTATTGATGTTCGTATATCCTTATTGATGTTCGTATATCCATATTGATGTTCGTATATCCTTATTGATGTTCGTATATCCTTATTGATGTTCGTATATCCTTATTGATGTTCGTATATCCTTATTGATGTTCGTATATCCTTATTGATGTTCGTATATCCTTATTGATGTTCGTATATCCATATTGATGTTCGTATATCCTTATTGATGTTCGTATATCCATATTGATGTTCGTATATCCTTATTGATGTTCGTATATCCTTATTGATGTTCGTATATCCGTATTGATGTTCGTATATCCTTATTGATGTTCGTATATCCATATTGATGTTCGTATATCCTTATTGATGTTCGTATATCCATATTGATGTTCGTATATCCTTATTGATGTTCGTATATCCTTATTGATGTTCGTATATCCTTATTGATGTTCGTATATCCATATTGATGTTCGTATATCCTTATTGATGTTCGTATATCCATATTGATGTTCGTATATCCTTATTGATGTTCGTATATCCTTATTGATGTTCGTATATCCTTATTGATGTTCGTATATCCGTATTGATGTTCGTATATCCTTATTGATGTTCGTATATCCATATTGATGTTCGTATATCCTTATTGATGTTCGTATATCCATATTGATGTTCGTATATCCTTATTGATGTTCGTATATCCTTATTGATGTTCGTATATCCTTATTGATGTTCGTATATCCATATTGATGTTCGTATATCCTTATTGATGTTCGTATATCCATATTGATGTTCGTATATCCTTATTGATGTTCGTATATCCTTATTGATGTTCGTATATCCTTATTGATGTTCGTATATCCTTATTGATGTTCGTATATCCATATTGATGTTCGTATATCCATATTGATGTTCGTATATCCATATTGATGTTCGTATATCCTTATTGATGTTCGTATATCCTTATTGATGTTCGTATATCCGTATTGATGTTCGTATATCCTTATTGATGTTCGTATATCCTTACTGATGTTCGTATATCCTTATTGATGTTCGTATATCCTTATTGATGTTCGTATATCCTTACTGATGTTCGTATATCCTTATTGATGTTCGTATAGCCTTATTGATGTTCGTATATCCGTATTGATGTTCGTATATCCTTATTGATGTTCGTATAGCCTTATTGATGTTCGTATATCCGTATTGATGTTCGTATATCCATATTGATGTTCGTATATCCTTATTGATGTTCGTATATCCGTATTGATGTTCGTATATCCTTATTGATGTTCGTATATCCTTATTGATGTTCGTATATCCTTATTGATGTTCGTATATCCTTATTGATGTTCGTATATCCGTATTGATGTTCGTATATCCTTATTGATGTTCGTATATCCTTATTGATGTTCGTATATCCGTATTGATGTTCGTATATCCTTATTGATGTTCGTATATCCTTATTGATGTTCGTATATCCGTATTGATGTTCGTATATCCTTATTGATGTTCGTATATCCATATTGATGTTCGTATATCCGTATTGATGTTCGTATATCCTTATTGATGTTCGTATATCCGTATTGATGTTCGTATATCCTTATTGATGTTCGTATATCCATATTGATGTTCGTATATCCGTATTGATGTTCGTATATCCTTATTGATGTTCGTATATCCGTATTGATGTTCGTATATCCGTATTGATGTTCGTATATCCTTATTGATGTTCGTATATCCGTATTGATGTTCGTATATCCTTATTGATGTTCGTATATCCTTATTGATGTTCGTATATCCTTATTGATGTTCGTATATCCTTATTGATGTTCGTATATCCTTATTGATGTTCGTATATCCTTATTGATGTTCGTATATCCTTATTGGTTCGTATATCCTTATTGATGTTCGTATATCCGTAGGCAATTGCCTTATTGATGTTCGTACGCGTATATCCTTATTGATGTTCGTATATCCGTATTGATGTTCGTATATCCTTATTGATGTTCGTATATCCTTATTGATGTTCGTATATCCTTATTGATGTTCGTATATCCGTATTGATGTTCGTATATTTCGTTATAGGCAGTTGCCTTTATTTATGAATCTCGATTCATCTTCATATATCTTTATTCATAAATTCAGTAACAGTTACATTATATTTGTTTCTTAACTTAATTTGAGTTGACTGTTAAATGCGTATTTAGCGTTGTTGCCGTGTATACCCATCACGGGTATGGGTATGGTGATGGGTAAATAGGATGGGTCCTCCCACCTCTCCATTCAGTCCCTGGATCCCGTTACCCCTAGGCACCCCTCCCCTTCGTTCCTCCCCCATGGCTTACCTCTCCCTCTTCCCCGATTTCCCCATACCTTATGTCCAACCCCTTCCGTCCCCCATTCTCTCAGAAAATGTTTCGGTCTCTTCCTCCCCATCTTACCCCTCTTCCCACTACTTTTGTCTCCCTATTTCGTCTTGACCCCTTCTCCCTCTTCCCTTGAACCCCCTCCTCCCCCCCCCCCCTTGTCTCTACTACTTGCCCCCCCCCCCCCGCTTCTCTTTCTCCTCTCTATTTTTCTCCGTCTCTATCCTACATATTACTACTATCATAATAAGAGCAAATGTCACTATGTCTTTATAATTATTATATGATATATACACAGAATATAAGTCTCCCCTTGCGAATTTATGGGTTGTTCAGTTTTCTATGATAGGGGGAGGAGGGGGCAGAATATATAATTTACTTGTTTTATGGGATTATGCTGTTAGTTTAAATAGCTGAATATTTCCGCTAACCCTAGAGCAGTGAATAATGGCGTATATTTCCATAAGAAAATTAAAACAAAATCCGTTGTATTTTTTCATAACATTTTCGTAGGTGAACCGGGCGGGCAGTGGCAAGAGTTGCCGTGGGGGTCTGAATGTGACCGTGATACGTTGTTCTCTTTTGAATGCTGGCGACCCCGACCCAGTCTATGTTCATCCCATACCCCAGACCAACAGACATTCTCTTTTATAGTATAGATTTAAGAGGGGTACCCAGCGTTGCCGGGGTTTGTCTCTCCTTTGTCTCTTTGTCTCGACCAGGGGAGCCGGTCGGCCGAGCGGACAGCATGCTGGACTTGTGATCCTGTGGTCCTGGGTTCGATCCCAGGCGCCGGCGAGAAACAATGGGCAGAGTTTCTTTCACCCTATGCCCCTGTTACCTAGCAGTAAAATAGGTACCTGGGTGTTAGTCAGCTGGCTGCTTCCTGGGGGTGGAGGCCTGGTCGAGGACCGGGCCGCGGGGACACTAAAAGCCCCGAAATCATCTCAAGATAACCTCCTCTCTTCAATTTGTCCCTCTATCTAGCAATCTATTCATCAATTTATCCATCTATCCATATCTCCATCCATCTGTCTATACATCCATTTACCTCTCTCATTCATATATCCATTCATCCATCCATCTACCCCACTGTTCATCTGCTTATGCATATATCCGTCTATCCAACTATCTATACATCCATCTATCAATACATTTATCTAGCTTTCCATTCATCTATCTGTCCTTCTATCCCTATATACACATCTATCCATCCCTTTTTCTTTCTGTCCATCAAACTTTGTATTCATTCAGTTATATATCCATCCTTCTATCTGTTCATCCATCCATCTCTCATCTAGCTACCAGTCTGTCCATCCATCTACTCATCTATCTCTATTCATCTATTCTCTATCCATCCATCCATCCATCCGTTTATCCATCTATCTAGTACAATAAGATCAAATGTCAATATGTCTTTATAATATTAAATTACATTCACGCAGAATATAATAGTTTCCCCTTTTTTAATGTATGAATTGACCTTCAGTAAGTTAGACTTAACTATTCAGCACATTCTAGTTCGTAATAATATTACATTAGGTTTGAGAAAATACAAATTTTGAATACGTAGTATGTTAACATTGATGAATGCCTCTTTGGGTGGTCGGCCGCTGCTTGAACGAGCCTAGCCTGAGGACACAGGCTGTTTCCGACAA